ATTTTATTTTTTTTCGATAATTTATTATTATAAAAATATAAAAAAAAAAGAATATCTGTATTTATATGAGTCGAAATTCAAATTTAATTTAATTAAAAAAAAAAAATAACAAAAGTTTTTAATAAAAAAAATTTATTATTTCAATATTGACAACAGTATAGTAAATATTAAAGACTGTCTCTCTCTCTCTCTCTCTCTCTCTCTCTCTCTCTTATAAAATAAATAATTATTAAAAAAAGGAAGAAGAAAAAAAATGTTATTTAAAACAATGTATAATCTAATCATTTACGAAAGCATAACAAAGAATTGAAATATTTAATGAAAAAAAAAAAAAAAATTTTAAATTTATTGAAAACAATTTTTTTTTTTTTTTTATTTCTCAAAAAAAAAAAATATATAAAAATATAAAAATAAAACTTTTTGATAAACTATTCTATTCGTATCTTCAGGCGTTTTTTTTTTCTTTTTTTCGGTAAAGTTAAAAATCAAAAAAAAAAAAAAAAAAAGAAAAAATTTAAATTTGATATATTCAAGGGTTGGCCTAGGGCTTTACAGGAAAAAAAAAATACAACAGTTACATTTTTTAGGTAAAAACCAAAATCGAAAGAAAAGAATCAATTTCCCTTTTTTTTTTTTAAAAAAAATTTGTTTTTGATAGGGAAATCAGGAAGGAAGAAAAAGAAGAAGAAGAAGAAAAGAAAATTTTTTATAAAACTCACATAAAAAACAAAAATTTTATTTTTTTTTAATATACCTTTAGAGGGCCCCCCCCCCCTTCCCTCCCCTCCTTCTCCTCCCCCATCCCCTCAATTTTTCCCATCAATTTAATTGTAATTTTCTTACAATTACTTCAATTAATCAAAAGATAATATTATTATTATTATGCATTATCCTTTCCATCCTTCTTTTATTACAAAAAAAAATAAAAAGGACAGAAAAAAAATCTTTTTTCCATTTTTATTATTTTTAGAAAATGGAGGGTGGGGTTTTTTTTTTTTTTTAATAAAATTTATTTTAAAACTTATTTAAAATATAAATCTTATTTTATTTCTTTTTCTTATTTTTTAATAACTTTATTGAAATATATATACATACATAAATATATATGTATTTTTTTTTTTTTTTCGTCTTATCTCGATGAATTATTTAAATAATTTTAATTTTATTACTTGTACGCTTAATTCATTTCAGGAGGTACGTGATATTTTTGATTATTAATACCTTAAAATAATATTTTAAAATTTTATTATTATTATTATTATTATTTTTATCTATTTTTTTTTTTACTTTATTATTATTATTATGTAAAAGCGAAACTTTTTTTTTCCTAGAGGAAAGGTAGAAGAAGAAGAAGAAGAGAGGAAATACGTGTTTTTATAATCCAGGATTTGAAAGAGAGAGAGAGAGAGAGAGAGAGAAATTCACATTATTAATTGTTAACGATCACATCGTAAATTTATCATTAGTTTTAACGTTCCAAAAAAAAAAAAAAAAAAAAAACGACGTGGAAGAAGAAAAAAAAACGATGTCAACAAGTAATTAAGAGTGTTAAGTAACTAAACCTTTTTTTTTTTTTAAATCGAAAAGAAAAAAATAATAAGATGGCATTTATTTAATACTCTAATTAATCATCCCCTTTTTTCTTTCGTTTCAAATCAATAGTGATGATAATGATGATAATAATAATAATAATAATAATCGATCGAAAAACAAAAAAAAAAAAAATTTTTTTACTTCCATTTTTTTGGGTAAATAACGAATCGGAAAATTTTATAGAAAACCCTAAATTTTGCCTCTGAGGAATTATTGATTACATTTCACGTATTAACAAATAATTGTATAAACACACACAAAACTGAGTAAATAATAATAATAATAGTAATAATAATAATAATAATAATAATAATAATAATAATAATAATAATAATAATAATAATAATAATAATAATAATAATAATAATAATAATAATAATAATAATGATTTGATTCGGAGTCGATCGATCGATCAATCATTCAAAATCAATGATGACAACAAATAAATTAATGTTGGTTAAAACAAAAAAAATTTAAATAAATGATATAATAATAATAATAATGATGATGATTATAGAAAATTTAATATTTATTCAAATGATAATAATAATGATAATAATAATAATAATAATGAAATAAATTTTACATTTACGTAAATACATTTTTTAAAAAAATTTCAATTATGCGAATGGGTTATCGAATTTACCACGTATAAATTTTTATATTATTATTATTATTATTATTATTACCATCATCGTTTTTTTTTAATACGATAATAATAATAATAATAATACTTTTATTTGGTAAATAAATTTGATTTCGTTGAATTTTAAATTTAGAAAAAAAAAAAAATATGACACGATATATATAAATAAATATTAAAAATTAATCCATAAAAGTTGGGATGATATTTATTTAGATTATTTTCTTGCAAATTTTTTTTCGAAAAACGTTTATTTAAATAAAATTTTAATAAACGGGGGGAGGAAAGGTAAGAGAAAGGGGTAAAGGAAAGGAGAAAAGAAGAGAGAGAAGGAAGGGGGCGGTGGAAATTTATTAGTTTTTTTTTCCTTTAAATAATAAAATAAAATTAATAAAAAAATTTTTTTTTTCGATAGTCAACTCAACATAATTTTAATTTATTACTCATAATAAAAAGTTTTTTTTCTTTTTTCGATTTTTTTAAAATCGAAGATATCTTTTCAAATTTTAAACAATAAATCGATAAATTATTAAAATAAATTATTATTATTAATCTATTAATTATATATATTCAATAATTAATAATAATTATCGTTATTTAATTTTACAAAAAAAAAAAAATAAAATAAAATCCTCCTAATAATTATTAAATTTATTTTATTTGATTTTTTGTTTACTTTTAAATCGTTATAATTAATTCGTTCAGTCAATCATTCATTCAATCATTCATTCATTCACACACATCTTTAGCCTACTCAAAAAAAAAAAAATTGAAAATATTTATTTGCGATGTTTACAACAACCTAAATAAAATCAATTATTTCTTTTCCCACAATAAAAAAAATCGTTTCCGATGGGATTTACAAAAAAAAAAAGGGAGGAGGGGAGGGGAGGGGCCTTATATATATATATAAAAGGGAAAATCCCCCATTAATGAATCAAAAAGATAAAAAACGTAAATAAACGTGAAGAGGTGAGGGTAAGAGGAGGTTAAAGAACAAAAAAAAGAAAAAGAAATTTAAAGAAACGAATTGTAGAAAGAGAGAGAGAGAGAGCGAAATAATAATAATAATAATAATAATGGCGGAGTTTTACTGGGAAAGTAAGATAACGTGGTTCATTGATCACTTAACCTTTGTGGTGGGGAGTGGACGGGGGGGGTGGAAAACTATCGGCAAAAAGACCGCAAACTTTTGTTAGAAGAATAAAACAACAACACAAAACAAGAAAAAAAACGAAAAGACGTAAGATTAATAATAAAACTTAATTGTTTTGTGCTTTTTTTTTTATTAAACCAAATTGTTTCTATTATTATTATTATTAACAATAATTAAATATTAATACGTAGAATAATTTATTATTATTATTATTATTTATTTCTATCATCTGGAATAATTATTATTTAAATAATTCATCGATTAATTATCGAATTGTAAAGAAAAAAAAAGAAAAACGGTTTCGTTCCGCCATATTTGTTTTTATTACTGTCGCCATGATTTTTTTTTTATAAAATGGCGGCGACAAATTTCCCTGCGAGTAAATAATTTTAATTAATTTATACGAATCGATATTTTTTTTTATTATTTTTTTTGTAAATAATTAATTAGAATATCAAAAAACAAAAATTAAACTTTGAGTAAAATTTTTTTTATTTTGTTGTTGTTGTTCTGTGGTTGTTGTTGTTGTGGTTGTTGTCGTTGTCGTCGTAATTTTTCATTCGTCGTGTTTTTTCGGATAAAAATTTT